TTATAATAGTCTTCCGTTTCTCTTTTTGTTTGGAAAACTTTTTAACATATTTGAAAATCTTCTTGCATAGAACATGGATTTTTTTTTATAATAGTATCTCTTTTTGTTATTTTACATTTTTTGATATTATTTTTTACGCATGTTTCTCTTTTATTAGAGTTGAGTGTGTTATGTAAAATTTGAATTTATGCGCGCGCACTGCGCGAGTTGCAGCCCGCGAGACATCTGCACAGGTTTCTGTTACCTATCGCACATCTTGAAAACCTGAAGATAAAGAGGATCTCGCTATGTATATACTTGTGTGTACATTTTGCAAATTTACATATAAATTTTTTCGCATGATTGTTTAAATGCAAATGATACAAAACAGAAAAATAAAATGAGATAAGAAAAATAAAATGAGATAATTAAAGCTTGTTTTTTTTTTGTAGCATCCAGTTAATTGTTCGCCACTTGACGTCGTTCCTTCTTCTTCATCCTTTGTATCCAACATGCCGTCTCTTTGGCTTAAGTTCTTGCTCTCGTTCCATTCCAAATTGAATTTTTCATTTTCGTCGCAGCTGTTCGGCGGCGAGGAACAAGAAATGTATCGAGAATGACGAAACTCTCGCGAAGTAATCGAATTATTATATCTTGGAAATCGAAATATCACAAAATTGTGTAACTCTCTAATTAAAAACAAACCTCTATAATTGATTAAGAAAATTTATTCTATATTTGAGTTAATAAATTTATTCCGATTCTTTTTTTTTTTTATTAAAGAAATTCCGCCGCTGCGGAATAGCGATGGCGACTCTTTCTTATACGATGCTCATTGAAGAGTTGCTTAGAAACAATCGAGTATTCTATCGACTAGTGTGCCGCCGAGCGCTCAGTCCGCGCGCGAAAGTAGAAGTAAGACGAGACGGAGGAGGAATGTTTTGCTGAACGCGCGTCGCAGTTTCATTCATGAGGTCGTTCTTGCACAAAATCGTGCCCGATGAACGAATGGACTTCGCTCGCCGGAGTCGCCGAACAGGATGTATCAAACGAAGAAAAATTATATTCCCGGTCGTATTCTCGTTCGTTAATTATAGACTCTCTAATATCTAATTAAGAAACGGCTGTTATTAACGAACGAAGTGTCGATCTTTGTGTATTTTTTCTTTGACTGAGAGAGACACTTTGTTTATCTTTTGATAAAATGTGAGCATCTGTCGTGCGCGAATTTATCTGCATACATTACTCGACGCAAAAACAGATCCCACAGGATCCACGCCTGTGGTACGACAACCCGAGAGCGAGACAAATTGAAGTTTTTCACGAACAAACCTGTCCGTAGACCACCGCGAACTTGTCTTCCTTCGCTTTAAACTAGCTCCTTTGGAAACGATGAAGACTACATGGCCCTGTTCGCTTTGAGTTTTAGTAGAGAACGTACGCTTTGATTCTTTCAAGATAAGAATTTACAAAGAATATATATATATATAATTATTGCTTATTAATTTAGATATTAATTTCCTTTTGTCATTCTTAAAAGTTTCATCGCTGGCGACGTTGCTTCAGTTTCATGAGAGACTTTTAACAACAGGAAAAATTAATATAAAGCAAATCTGACAAATACGTAAAAATTCAATGTTTTAAAGAAAATTACAATAATTGTCAAAACTCTGTTTTTTTTTTTTATGAAGTACGATAATATATTTTTCGAGTGTATCAAAATTGAAATGTTTTATCGGATTTTCGAGAGAAAAATATGCGAGAGAGCGTTAAATTTAAATCTGCTTTCTTCTGAAATTATTAGCATCTTCTTCGAAGATTGTTAACGTTCGCGCGATTTTAGCATTACACACGTAGTCTGCCTGTCTTTTCCGGATTCGAGATGGCAACCAGTTTGCCGGGAACTCAGTGCTTAACAACATCGTCTTTTTTCATCGAAGCATATGCTGAGCCTATATTAGGAAACTTGCAGTCACGTGTAAGAGAAGATATAGCGCGTAGGCGCACGAAGAGGCAAAAAATCAGAAATTTGACGCAAACCTACCAATTCGAATTATATCGATATATATATATTTTAGACACGTTTGCTCAATATTTTGTTATTCTTATAAAAATTTAGTTGTGAGTACGCCGAAAAAATTATATTCTCGTAAGTAGAAGATTTTATACTTAAAAAAATCTTCTTAAAGATTTTAGATAATATTCTTCTGAAATTAAGAATATATTCTTTATTTAAGAATATAATCTTTTTTCGATAGTGAGATATAAATGTTTTTCTATAGAGGCTTTTTATATTCTAATCAGTATATATTCTTATCAATATTACTATTTAGAGGATTTTCCTCTTAAAATAAGAAACTCTTAAGATTTTAGATGATATTCTTCCAAAATTAAGAATATATTCTTTATTTAAGAATATATTCTCAATTTAAGAATATAGTCTTTTTCGATAGTGAGATATATATGTTTTTCTATAGAGGCTTTTTATATTCTAATCAGTATATATTCTTATCAATATTTAGAGGATTTTCCTCTTAAAATAAGAAACTCTTCTTGGCGCCTATTTTAGTATAAAATATACTTAAAGTAAGTGGGATATATATCCTCAAAACAAGAATACAATTTTTTTGGTGTATATATACACGTCAATAAAGACAAGTTACGAGTTGTTGTCCTCTAAAATCTTCGTTCTTTGCGTCAGACGAATTTCGTCAGAAAATTTACAATGCTGGAAAATATAACAAGAGAATAAATATATATAACACACACACACATGAAAAGTCTATTCGATACTATTGAAAAAAAAAAGAAAATAGAAGCTCTTTCACGAAGTGAAACAAATTCGCTCGTATATAACGTCGCGCGTCTCTTTTTATAAAACACGTGAGTTTTGTCATCATATTTTTTTTTTTGACGCAACGGTTTTTTTCTATCTTTTTATATAAACTCTCGGATCGCGCGCGGAAAATCTACAAGCAAAAGATAATTCCAAACCGCGTTCTATCACCTGACGGAGAGAGAATGTCTTTCTCGACGCGGATGGAGATGACAAGAGTCATGTTCGTCGCGCACATATGCAATTATTAAATTTTTGTACCGCGCGCTAGCTGAACGCGCACATCCGTTCCTTCTCCAGGTTCCTTCTCTCGTGCTTGCCAAAATTCCTCTTTTTTCGACGCGCATCCCGTGCCGCCGTGACCGTATTAGGAAACCTGCAGCCATTGTGCCCGGTTTCTCCCGAACGACGAGCGATGAACAACGATGACGACGAGGACAACAAACGCGATCGTTCTCTCATGCCGTCTTCCTTACCCTCCTTATTCTCATCGTCTCTTCAATTAGTTGGCAATTGCAAAAAGTTTTGCGAAGGTGACGGGAAAATCGACGGGATATATCACGTGAGATAAAAATGTTTTTTTTTTGTCAACCAATAATACATTCGTTTCGAGTGTGAAAGAAAAATACCACACAAAAATAGAAAACAGTCTTTAAAAATCAAATTTTTAACTCGCCGAGCGTGAGCGACGATGATTATCTTCCTCTAAGAATGCGAATAAATTTATTTTCTTCACGCGTGTGCGTATAGATAAATTGCATACGTGTATGCGTTTGCGCGTTTATGTGTCGCGCGCGCAACGTACAGATACATCGGCTAATGATAAAAAGGCTTCAAGGTGAGCGAGACCGACATATGAATGAATGACCGTATGCATGAATGGGTGACTGTACGCACTCCGGAGCGACTAACTGGTGGAGCTGCTGCGCACACATATACGCGCGCGCGGCTTGACCGATCGCGTGTGTGTGTGTAAGTGTAGGACTAATGCGTGTATATATACAGGGTGTTCGAAAATTGTTGTGCGAGTTTAATTTTCGTAACAGAGATTTGAATAGATTTGTTTTTACTTATTAAATGTCGGTTGATTTGGCTATCGTGGAAATTAAATGTTCATCGACCTCTCTCCGTCTTCGCGGTGCCAACGCACTTATACGCTAACTGAGATATAATAAATCTTTGAAAATCGAGCGAAATAAAGTTTGTTCCCGAAATCTCGTCCTCAGGTTGCCGAACTCTGTGCCAAAATAAAATTATTTATCAGCGCACGTTGCTCTGCCAAAATCCTCTACACTTTATTTGCTTTTGATTGGTAAATAAATGTTGTGATTCCCTCGTTGATGTTTTCGTTAGAGAGAAATTGGTCGGAGAATTTTTTGTTAGGTGAAAAAATTCTATTACACTCGTTTGTTTCGCAACACCCTGTGCCACGTGCACACCGTGAGACGGTCTTCTGCGGTGAGCTCGTGTGCGCAATCTGTTTCTGCGCGTACAGCGAACTCGCGCAGAACGTGATCCGCGATCGCAACGTCCTGCTACCGATGTCGCATCAATGAATCCAATACAGAAAAGAAGCATCTCTTAAAGAGTTTAATTAAGATTCTTCGTGGGGCGACTTTTTCTCTGAATAAAACGCGAATTCGATAAAAAATGGTCAGCGCGGAACTCATTAACGGACACTCGCCGGATGGCACGTAAATTCGTCTTACGCGAGGACTGAATGTTACTTTTTTTTTTTTGGCAGCGCCTTCTTTTTTCTCACTGTAATTGATTCTTTATAGCTTGTGACTTGTAATTTCTCGGGAATTTTCTACGGGGATTATCCCGTAATAAATCTGCGTTGCGCTTCGTGTATATCGGTATACCAATTTATTTTTTATTCTTATTTATGGACTTATAAGAATTTATTTCGCTTTACAATATAAGCGTGCTTATAAAATAGTCTTACATGTCGCACAAAAGAAGACAATAGCACGAGTGTAGGACGGCTTCGAACGGTTGCGGTTAGCCCACTTAGCGATGTGTGACAAAAGATTCAACAACTCAACAACAAAAAGAATCTCGCATCTTTCCGCGCTTCGGACAAATTGAATGTTCGAGGGATTATTTATTTATTGTCCAAATGTGTTGTTTTTTTTTTCGTGCTGCGCGCGCACACACAGCACATTATAATATACAAATATAATATACAATCCGTCACAGAGATGTAAAAACAAGAGAAAACATATTTATGATTTAACAAGAGTATATAAATAAAGACTAGATTTCGCGTTAGATCAATGTATTTAAACGAGTAGTTGCTTAGAAAAATAGCGACGTGGCGACGTCGGTATAGTTGCAAATCTCTTTTTTTTTTTTTATACCACTCCAAATGCATCGCAATTTGATTGTATAATCTAAAAACAAATTATCTCCACACACACACACACACACACGCACACACACGTACCCACTTCCGATTCCAATATATGGCGAGCGCGAAATCACTCTTTGGTTAAACCGTTCTCTATTGCGATTTTATGTACATTCCGGTCTCTCATCTTTGGCACCAAGCTACGATCGAATTCGCCTTATCTTCGTGACACGATGCTATTGTGAAGAAATTTATCGAGTGCTTTAAATCATCTTCGATTTTTGAAATCTAGTTACGTTAGTGAATTTATTTACTTTTTTAATCGTCACATATTTTTGAGACACACCGAGATAGTGAGAGATAACTTGAAAGACTTTGATTAAACTTACAAAGAGTTTGAAAAAAACTCTTCTCAATCACTGGACAAACTTCCACAGAAAAAAAAAAAAAAAAATCAACAACAACGTAGAAGCACTGCGCGCATCGTGTCATGACTTTCGTTCGTCGCGAATGTCGGGTTTCACGTAAGGGGTAAAGTCCGATGATCCTCCACGAAACTGTTCGGCACATCGAGCAGATTGGCGCGAGGAAGCGGAGAGTGAACGAAAGCAGCGTCGCCGTCGACGTCAACGTCGGTCGCGTCGCCGTCTATTACAACGTCACCACCGCCAGCACCAGCACCCCCGCCGCTGCTTAATTCGCGTACGTTACCGGGCAGATAGTCCTTCCAGCTTCTGAACAGATACCTGGTGAATTTTCTAAGCTGCCGAAACTTGCAGTAAGTAGCACCTTCCGCGGATTCTAGCTGTTGCGTCTGAATGAGAAAGCCCTTCTCCTTGAAAGTCTGTTCAAGCTTCTCTCGTTGCAATGATTTTCTGGTTTTTCTTTTTCGCCGACCATCGTCCTGGCTGGCTGAGTTTCTCTGACACACCGCAGGCGGTTGTATTCGCTCGCCAGCGGCGTTTAGAAAGGTTCCGGTGGCGGATGTGGTGCCAGACTGACCCGCGGGTTGCTGAAGAGCTTCTCTGGGAAAGAACTCGTAACCGCGCATACTTTTGTCACCGGTGCCGCTGTAGTAACGAAAATTGCCACCCGAGTCTACGGAAAGACTCTTTTTCTCCTGCAGACTGGGTTTGGCGCCGCCGGTGAATTTGAATTTGCATATGCTCACTTCCGTAGCCGGATTATTATTGTTCTCGGTTGGCATCGGCGGTATGAATATAGCGGAACGCTTCCGTTTGGTCGGCTGACCTTGTTGCTGATTCAAAGGCGCGTTTCTCTTCGGTCTGGGCGACGGCGGTTCGGCGATCGTCGCGGACGTCGTCTGAGACGTGGGCAACGGTGACATCTGGGGTGGGCTCTTTGACTCCATTATAGAATATATCGACTTGGGCACGATTTTTTGCTCCTTCGGCGATTGATCTATTGATCGTGGTAGACACTTGTCGTTCTGAGCCACCTTTTGATAATACAGCAACTGGGACTGCAACGCCATCGGATGAATAAACACACCGGCATTTGGCCAGTACACGAAACCGGAGTTGGACGCGATCATCGGATTGATCACGTTGTTGTTGTGATTGACGAGATTGTTGTTCAGTCGATGAGCGATCGGATCCGAATAGTTGACCGGTTCCGACGAGAACCTAGTTCCCAAACACTCGACCTCTTCGCCGTCACTAGACGTCTCGCTCTTTACCTGATCAGATTGGTAGACATTTCCGTGTTTTCGTAATAATCGAATTTTGAGCTGATTGAGATCTCTGATACAGAGATTCAACGGTTCGTCCTGTTCTCGCGAGTTTTCCGATAGAGCGAAATTTCGTCGAGTTTCCTGCGTCAGTCGTTTCTCCAATAGGCTGCTAATCCTGTTCTGAACGTCCGTTCTCTGAAAAGGCACGTGAGGAGGCGACACGCGATCCCGAGGGTCTTGCTTATCTTGCGGCGACAATCTCTTCTCCTCGTGACCCGGCATACCTGGAAGTATGGTGCCGTAGTTTTTGTAGATTAAGTGACAGATATCGGCCTTTTTGGGTTTTCGGCCACGTCTCGGTTTGCTGTTGTCGAGAGTGATCTCGCCCATGTACGGAAGATCGGAATATTTCATTGGCGGTCTGCTGGACGTCTGCTGCGACTGTACTTGTTGCACGTTGGCGTGATGATTGGAATAGGGAGTGTTGTTACAGGTCTGCGAAGACGCGGACGTGATAACAGATCGTCTGGCGCCGGCAACTTGATTGTGGCCGACGGTCGTAGGACATTGAGACGATGCGATTTGCGGACACAACTCTTGCTGCATTGCCGCGATTCGCTGCAGCCAACCGTGAACATCGGCGATTGGACTCGGAGTAGATGTTGAGCTGGTTGGCGCTGGACTCGACGCTGCCGGTTCGACGACACGCGGCGGCGAGGAATTCAGATTTTCCTGAGCCAGCGACGCTTCGTAATGGTCCAAATATTCCGGCGGCAACGCCTGATGATGAAACTTGAGTTTCCATCGCGATTTCCTTCGACCGCGACTGGAATATAAAAATTTCACAGTCTGACATAAAAAAAAAAAACTCTGACTGCTATAGGCATAATAATAATAAAATAGATAATAATTAATTAATTAATTAATTAATTAATTAATTGTGTTTTTTAACAAATAATGATTCAAGTATAAAAGAATTAAAAGATCACATTTTGCGAATATATAGATTTTTTACACCGAAAAAATTATATTCTTGTAAGTAGAAGATTTTATACTTAAAAAATCTTCTTAAAGATTTTAGATGATATTCTTCCGAAATTAAGAATATATTCTTTATTTAAGAATATATTCTTTATTTAAGAATATAGTCTTTTTCGATAGTGAGATATATATGTTTTTCTATAGAGGCTTTTTGTATTCTAATCAGTATATATTCTTATCAATATTACTATTTAGAGAATTTTCCTCTTAAAATAAGAAACTCTTCTTGGCACCTATTATAAAATATACTTAAAGTAAGTGGGATATCCTCAAAACAAGAATACAATTTTTTCGGTGTACAGATTGCTGTTGTACTTCGAGAGACACGTTGCCACATAGAAAAGATGACATTTAAAGTAGAATGCGTTCACGCGGCAGTTACACCGGCGATATCGCTCTTTCATTAACGCCAGTGACTGCATTCCGGACCACACCTTTAAAGAGAGAGATATAGACGCTTCGCGTGCCGCGCGCGGTACATCGCCTTAGCTTGTATGCAGAGAGCGGATGCGTTTCGCGCTTCTTCTTCTGTAACAAGAGCGCAGTCAGGTTTAACTCTTAATGAAATTCACTAATAACGGTAATCGGTTTTCTCTCGCGGTGCGTTTCGCCCTAACGTATATCCGTGAATCCTTTTTTTCCCGCGCGCACTCAGGCGCGCGCTTCAACTCGCTCGACGCGAACCAGTTTCCTGGCGCCTGTCTTTCTTGCCAGTTCGACGGCTGCTTAAAGCACTTTCCTGGACATCGGCCGGTTTTAAGTTAAAGACGTCGTTAGCTGTGTGACAAAAAAAAAAAAGATAACCCGAGTTGCGCCGTTGCCGCGAGTCGCATCACTACGTGACAATGTACAAACCGTTCAACGAAACACGCACGTTACGCAGCTGCATCGTGTAAAAATACTCTTTATTTTCGAAAAACAAAAGAATTCCGCTTCAGACGACAGAAAGAGTTGTAACTCTGTGTTTTATTTAGTTAAAAAAAAATATCACATCTTTTGAATCCTCTCCACTCACACGTGTTTCGAAAAAAAAAAACAAAAAAACTTGCAGTGCGCGATGTAATTTTGAGAAAAAAAAAATAAATCACCTGGATCGTCCTCGGTTGCCGGGATCTGGAACAGTTAGCGTCGGATTTTCCTCCAATCCTTGAAGTTGATGATGAACGTGATGTCCGTGCTTGTTGTCAGCCGAAACCGCGGCGTTGCTCGCGTCCGCTTGCGGGCTATCAAACCACAACAAGAGATTTTCGACATTCGGGGCTATCAAATCACAAGAGAGTTTCGACATTCGGGATTTGACTCTCCCCCTCCCCCTCCCTCCGTCAAATTATTATTAATTCCCGACCGGAGAGAGAGAGACAAGCTATGATGCGGAAATTACAATACGAATCAATAAGAAGGAACAAATCGTGACGTGCTGTTCGAATTTGACCGACGTATGTCACTACGGCATACGATCAACAAAAGGCGAAAGAAAGAAATCGATGCGTCATCTGATTTGATTTACCATTTGTCGAACTGTTATCAAGCGTGATATAAAAAATACAATTAATGTCTTACGAGAATTCAAAGAAGGATTCACAAGTCACCTCAACGTATTCGCGTCGCGACTCCGCTCCTCTTCCTCCTGCGGCTCTTGCTTGACGGCCATGTGGATCAGAGGTGGCAACGGGCAGTGTAAATGTGCCGAGTGGTGATGCAAATGATGTTGCAGACCAGCGCCGTCGTTAAGACCAACGTCTATCCCAATAGACTGTGCGCGCGGCACGACTTCCTCGGTCTGCATAGTGCCCCCTGGAAATTCAAAAGTCGCACAGGATCGCTTTTAGAATGTCGGTTCTTCATCACGTACGTGGCTACAAACACATGTATTATATAAAAACAGGAAATGTATAATGGCCATTTGAAGCAAAAACACTGGTGATAACGTGTGTATGATAGAGACATTACTTTATTCAAGCAGGTGACATATAGAACGTTTTCGGCCTTAGATTAGGCCTTTATCAATATATATATATATATATAAATATGATGTTCTTGAATTAAAACTTATACAAGTCACATGATTACAATATAGAAATATTAAAGTAACTGAGGTTGTATTATATATTTAACATGTATTATATTTCGAAAAATGTAAATCTGATGTACGATTTTTTTTTTTTTTTTTTTTTGTACTGAAATCCAGTTAATTCTTTTAATTATCGAACGTAACGCCTAAACGTTGTTCTCGGTCGATTTTTTTAATTAAAAAAAAGAAAAAGAAAGAGCTAGAAGCAAAGCCGGAAGCATTCCGTCGCGCAACAGTCTCGATTTTCTTATTTTAGCATACGAGAGCCAGACGAAAGGTTGCGCGTGGGTCGCAAAACCGGAGATTGTTTCCCGGTGTGCGAGCGAATTGCGGAATAACTTCGTATAACTATAATGAAAAAAAAAAAAAAAAAACTTGAGCGTGTTGGATTATAACGTCGTTGCGCGCGCAACGTGGCAAATTACCATTACGCAGATGTGACTAGCGTGAGAAATGGCAGAAACCAAACAAATGTTCGCACACAAATGGATAAACGATAAAAGACCGCGCGCACCTACAGACCCGCGGCTCTGCCGCGTTGCACCATCGAACGAGCAGCAGCCGCGTAGGCGGTTGCGTGCGTGTCCGTTCAAGGCTTCGAAATCGCACAATAGCGAATTGCGAGCACCACCCGTTATGCGCGAGAGAGATCCGCTTGGAAACACTTCGCGCCATCCTATATACATAGAGAGCGCGCTCGCGCGCACCTGTCACAATCGCGTGATAAAACTCATCATCAAAAATTTCCGAGTTCGTTACACCGTCGTATATATATTTTCTACGATTACACACGACAACAGTTATTCTCAACGAATATATAAACGCGCGTATATTGTCTCTGCTTGCAACTTACGAGAAAGTCCCAATTGCTCAAAGTCAATTTTTGACAAGTAAGTAGATAAGTTTTTCAGAAAACGTTGCATAACATTTTTAGTAACCGCGCACCGTGAGAATCATCGCGCGATCAACCGGGATCAACCGGGAGAGCAAAGACGTCAGCAGTTTGGCGGCGGCGATGAGAAACGAAAGAGGTTAAAAGGGAGAAAGGAGACGCGGAGGAGACGCAGAGAAGAGCGCGTATTATACATACTGCGACTTTGCAGCATCGTCGGATAAAAATATTCATGCGCGAAAATAGAATCGGACACACTTCTACACCCAACACCCGCAATTCCCTGGCCATACTTGGTCTTAGTCGATCAGGTTTCACGACTCCGGTGTGAAGAACCGCTTGAGAGACGCTGTGAGTGATTAATTCATAGGTCAAATCACGAGTTTTCAGAGATCGTTTATTAAAAACTTTAATAAGAGAGAGATTTAAAAGTCACTTTGTAAAACCAACTCTTAAAATTTTTTGAAAAAAAATCGAGAGAGAGAGAGGAGAGAGTTTCAAGTTTCACGTCAAGATTCTCGTTGTGTCGAGTTTTTCGGTTCGAATGTAAATTTTACAAAACTCGCTAAATCTAAACAAGAATGTTGAGAAGGATCAAATGATGGAAAACTGATCCATATACGTCCAACAAGCAAGCGTGACAAAAAAAACGGAGACAATTAGCGGATGATATTAATATCGATACGTGCGGGTGGTGTGGCACATTTTCATTGAAGACCAGTTATAGAATGATGCAGGCACAGGCGCGTAACTACAATTTATTTTTTGGCTATTTTTAGCGGTTGGCGTAGCGCCACTATTTTCGGTTCTCTCAAATTTCTCACTCCATATTTAGGATTATGGTATATCAGACGCTTATGCTTTTATGATCGTTGTCGCGCTTTTGAGGAACTTCTTTTAACATCGCCGTTTTCTGTGATTGTTTTATTCAAAAAAAAAAAAAACAGCAATCGTGCGATTAACGACAAAAATGATAAAAACTATCTTCTCCGAAGAAAGATACGCAACAAGCTGCTCGCAAAAATTCCGCACCGGATAATTCATCGTGTTTTATTTAAACGTCACGATATTCGCGACTTGGTCGTATATTTCAATTAAGCCGAGCATCGAATTGGAGGTCTGTTCTTTTTATCTGAATCGGCTGCGCTAGTTCAGAGTTTATCTTTTTTCAACTCTACGTTGGAAAAAGAAAGATAAAAATCTGAACTAGTATAGCCAGTTCAGGTTAAAAGAACAGACGTGCTTAACGAAGTTTGTTCCGGAGGAAAGCATGTGTTTCTCGCGTTCTATTGGCAGAGGCGCAACTAGGTTAAAAACGGAAAGTCACAGCCGCAACACTCGAGAGAGATTGTGTCAAGGTGACGCAATGGCCGGAAAGAAAATCCCGATGGGTAAAAAAAAAAATATTGTGCGAGCGATAAACCGATTATTGCAGAGTAAAATATTTTTCAACCTGCGCGCGTGCGCCTCGCCATCTCGCGCTACACAGTAGTATCGCATGGATTATTTCATTTGTGCGTGACGCGATCACACGCTGTGTGTACCCGTGGACCGTGATCCACTGGCCCGATTGTGACATCGCATAGATCCGTAATTACATGTAAACACTTGCGTGCAAAGTCGCGCACCGATGCAAACGTTGTGTCGCGTCCCACACGTGGTGAACAGGTGATCCGTAAACTAAAAACCGATCGAAAAGGTTTTTGACCCAAACGCGGTCTCTTCGAGATTGAGAGAGTCCCGTCTGACATTTTTACGAATACGTGAATATATTACACACAAAAATCGTGGGATATTTTTCTCATCTCACTTTTTACGGACGCAATTCGTTCCCGTGATGTGCGACGCGCCTCGAGATATGAAAAAACTTTTTTTTTTTTTGTCACAATTCGATATAAGTATTGACATTTTTTTGACTTCGAACAAATACAGGAAACAAATTCGGGAGAAACAAATATCTTCAATTTTTTTTTTCTTTTCTCATCGATTACCTGTGACGGGAAAATTGCTTTCCGGCAACATGTGAACAACGTGTTGAAGTTTTTCGGCAAATCTTCGTTCCTGAGAAAAAAACTCGCGCGCGTTCGATCGCACTTCGTGCGCGTCGAATTGTTTTCTATTTCAATAATTCACACGATTATCGATTTCGCCGACTCGATCGAGCCGAATGTGACACGATAGTTCGTCGAGCACACGCGATCGATCATCGCACAAATCACGAACTTTCACTGTCAACCGCGATCGACTCGACTAATTCCTCGCGCTCGCCCACGCGATCGAATACGCTCGCGTGATTCCTTGGCAGACGGAGCGGAATATCGAGAGATAATTTGAAGACGAAAAAGGAGAGGGAGAAGAAGAAGAGGGAAAGAAGAAGCGTATGGATGAACTTCCACTCGCGCGAGGAAGAGAGAAAGAAAGAGAGAGAGAGAGAGAGAGAGAGAGAGATTGTGGAGATCGACCGCGAAGAAAACCGGGAAGGCAATTAGAGACGAAAAAGAAATGTAGAAGAAAAGACACACGGGGAAAGGAAAAAATAGGACCGCGATGAGAAACAGAGCGGAGCGTTTTGAGTCACTTTTGGCACTGTTTAAGAGCAAGAGCGAAATGTGAACAAGCGAAACGTTCACACCTCCGTCGAGGGACGGAAGAAACGTCGTCGGCGAACGGACGTCGACGTCGTCGACGAGGATGACAACGACAACGTCGACCAACTTTCCGCGGGCCAAGAAGAAGAGCGAGCGGGGGCGCGGGTGTATATTCTCGATTTGGGCGGATGGAAATCTGAGATTGCTCCATATTGGGCTGTGCGCCGCGGAGGTGCTCTGTAATAGCAGAGCCCGACTTCTTCCCTCTCTTTCTCGCCCTCTCCTCTCTTCTTCCTTCCCTTCTTCCATTACTTCTTCTTCGTTTACTCCCTCTTTCTCGCTCCGCTTCTCACTTCACGTGCGTGCGTGCCTATAAGTGCGCACGTTTTACGTCTGTGTGTGTGTGCGCGCGCGCGCGCGTGTGTGTACGTGCGTGCGTTGCGACTTCCCTGTCCTTCTTCCACTCTGCTTCCCTCTTTCTTCTCTTTTCTCTCTTCCCTTTCTTTCTCTCATACGATCCACCAGCTCTCCTATGTATGTATGATGCGACTAACGAGAGAGTTTATATTTAACCCCGCGAACCACCAACGAGAAATCGAGTCGCGCGCAAGCCACTTTTCTCGTACTTGGTCTTTCTCTTCTTATTCTCGGACTCTCGCTGTTTGTTACATCCAGACTTGACTCTCGCGAGACAACCTCGCAAAATACGTTTTCCTGTTTTAAACGATTAAACTTTTTTTTTGACCAGTAGATTTTCCCGGCAAGATTTTTTTTGGTGAAAAAATGAAACAAGCAAAGTGAATTAAATGAATCACAGATCTTCTTCGTCATGAGTAAATTAAGTTGCAATAAAAAGCGATACAATAAACGAACACGGTATGACGTATAATCCTATATATACACCGAAAAAATTATATTCTTGTAAGTAGAAGATTTTATATTTAAAAAATCTTCTTAAAGATTTTAGATGATATTCTTCTGAAATTAAGAATATATTCTTTATTTAAGAATATAATCTTTTTCGATAGTGAGATATATATGTTTTTCTACAGAGGCTTTTTATATTCTAATCAGTATATATTCTTATCAATATTACTATTTAGAGGATTTTCCTCTTAAAATAAGAAACTCTTTTTGGCGCCTATTATAAAATATACTTAAAGTAAGTGGGATATCCTCAAAACAAGAATACAATTTTTTCAGTGTACGCACGAATGTTGAGACGATAATGGGTGCGATGTTTAATGTTGCGAGCTAATCAGATCAAAGTTCTCTGCGATTATCACCGGAAGTCGATGAGATAATTAAAATATAAATTAGATGTTAATATAATAATGTGTAATTTTTTAGCAACACGAGGAGTTTACACACCAAAAAAATTATATTCTTATAAGTAAAAGATTTTATACTTAAAAAATCTTCTTAAAGATTTTAGATGATATTCTTCCGAAATTAAGAATATATTCTTTATTTAAGAATATATTCTTTAAATTAAGAATATATTCTTTATATATAATTTAAGAATATATTCTTAATTTGAGAATATAATCTTTTTTGATAGTGAGATATATATGTTTTTCTACAGAGGCTTTTTATATTCTAATCAGTATATATTCTTATCAATATTACTATTTAGAGGATTTTCCTCTTAAAATAAGAAACTCTTCTTGGCGCCTATTTTAGTATAAAATATACTTAAAGTAAGTGGGATATCCTCAAAATAAGAATACAGTTTTTTTCGGTGTATATATTGGACAATTTTATCTTCGTCGTCTATCTACCCCAGAATTAAGATCTTTCTTCTCTTACGAGATGTCTGTGATAACGTGCGAAAACGAACGACTCTGTTAATCGACGCGTATGTAAATCCGATAAAAAAAAATCGTTCCGTCACAATTTTGCAGCCGGCTGCCATTGATCGCGCTTGTCGTGCGCGTTTTTCGAACAAACAGCCAAGGCAAGGCCGCGATATAATACCGACGACGAGCACCACCACATTCGCACGCAGCTCGCCGGCTGCGCGCGCCAGCAGGCCGATAAGTGCGCTAACGAAGAGACAGCGTAATCCAACATAACGCGCTATCTCTCGGGTTAATGAGCCTTGAAGACCTCTCCTCCGCTGCTCCGGAGGAGAGATCATTTCAAGTTTCCCACAGTGGCGTACCGGACGACGACGACGCAACGCGCGCTCCAACTTCTCTCCCCTCGCTCGCGCGAGTCTCCGCGCGAGTATCTCGTAATGTGTCTAATTTATTACTCCCCTATGTAGCGCAAAGCGGCAAACGTATATTTCGGTCGCGCGCCGGATTATTGGCCGACGTATATATTCCGATATATTCCCGTCGAGTCGAAAACGAAGCGCGAAAGAAAACATACCGGATCGAAATCGAAACGAGGCGCTGTTCAGTGGCCTGAAAAGGTGCGGACTTAATTAATGAGATTATTATAAGGATTAACCCCGAAAATTTGAAATGCGAGGCTCTAATTGACGTTTTCTCAAAGCCGCGTTCGCACCTGTCTCTCTTTCTCTCGCCTTTTTCGTCTCTTGTTTATCTCAATAATAATAATTATTATTATTTTAATTATTACTCTCTACCGCAAATGTCCGTAGAGATAATAGGTGACAAACGTATGTTGTTGCGGCGAACGTTGCGTTGCCCGATTGGTTGGCAATCAATAAACCCGCCACTCCGCGAGAAACGACTCGAACATATAAAAAAATGACTCCGTCAGAACGTGAAGTTGAAAGTATAGTTGTTGACATATTACCTGCTAGGTATTGGGACACGTCGGGCAAGTAGGCGGAGATTGATTTAACCTATACGGAATATAATATACGGTTCTGTGATGCCGCGAGATGCCAGAGAGACGGGGTTCACAAAATACCACCACGACGTCGTCGTTCACACACGAAAGAAAAGAATTGCGCGCTACACAATGGGACGATACGTTCAGATACGGCGGCTTCGATTCGCCAACAACTAGTAGTTAGCTTGTTATTTAAAACCTTAAACCATTTGCAAACCGTGGGGATTTGTATCATGTTCGCGAATATAATAAATTATCGCAGGCAAATGCCAAGCAATACGCGCGTCTTGCGCAACAACGAGACGCGCGACCTAGATCATAGTCTCAAAACACCAAAGCTACCATATTCCGCGAGAGAGCGGAAGTTCGCTTCGGCGAACGATGTTGATGAAACAAAACTGCTCTGTCGCGCGTGGGCGACGATTTTGGCGCTTAGGTACGAATTACCATAGATATCGAGGATAGTGCATATGTAAAACTGATTGCAGGACAACGCGACGATTCCGAAGGACGCTCGCCGGACGATGCAGAAGGCGCGGGAAGGTACGTTTACACATAATCTCGGGAATATATACATAATGGATCCGATTGATCCTTGACGGCTTGATCGAATGCAAATGTAGTCTCTATTCGTGGGATATTTTACCGTGACGGTGAAATAAATCAACATAAGAACGAGAGTGAATCGAGGTTTTAACAAGCATATCAATAAAGCAAAGAGAAATTCTTCTTCTGCTCTAAGTCCGTCCTCTCACAATAATGTCCGACAATAATTGATTGTTTCACCGCGCGTTTATCTCACACGCCTAATTGCTTTTTGTTGGATCGCTTTAATCGCTGTTATTAAAGCGCGTTAATGTGGTAAGTGACAAATAATAATAATTTCTCTCGCGAAGAAGCAGCAACTCTCTCGTTCTCGCGACGAGATAGTTCACGCGAGTAAGAGATCCGAACATCTATGAGAGTTCTACTCTGTTAAGTGTGTACCTCGCTCGCTTTCGAAATGTGATGCGAAGCGAGAGATGTGTGATTCAGCTAAAAGCGTGGATTCGAGTGCAAGTCGCTTCACGTGAGAAGACACCTGAGAAAGAGAAAAGGAGAAAGAGGATTTCTCGAGGCGACGATAGCCACCTTACAGCTAGTCCAATTGGTTCGCCTACGCTATAGAAATCTGAAAGGAATATATATATAAGGCCGTCCGCCTATAATACCGTTAAATTGTTCGGCGTGTTCTTTTCCTTATGTTCAACGTACGTTTATACGTTTTTTAATTTGGCAATGACGCAACCGTATCTTACTTTGGGTGTTGTTCGTCGCTGAAAAAAAAAATAAAAACGCAAGCCCGTTTTATCCTCAATAATAAAGATTGAGATAAACGCAATTAAGAAAAATAAATAAATAGCGACGAACAAATTCACGTGGGGTCGAATCGGTCAAATTGTTTATTTGCAAATTATGCAAATAAAATTAAATAATTCGGGATAACAACTCGAGAAAGCGATAAAAATTTAACACTAGATTTAGACCAGACCAGTCATTTTGACTGGTCGTGCAATTTCAATTCAAAATTTTTACTGCATGTAACATTTGCTTTCCGAAATGATGTTATGACTTTTGTAGCTATAAGTAGAGAANATACATTTTATGAACTTAATGTTACTTTATATATATATTCGTAACAAATATATTTTTTGTATTTTTTAATAGGTATATTTAAATAGCTGGTATATCTAGTGTTAACAAAACTTCCCTATCGTTTTGCTCGCGTATCAACGCGTTTAAATTATCAGTAGAAAGTATTATTAGAAAATAGAGTGTGTGTTTTGAAACACACACGCTGCATAAATTAAAATTCTCCGTGACGCCTGGCGAGATCATGTTTCGCAACATCACCTGCACGATCAGAAACGAGTGGAAGAAATTCTCTCTCGGCGCAACGTCAAAGATGTTATACGCAATTGCATATAATCGTGAACGTCGTTTCTCTCTCTCTCTGTCTGCGCGCTACACATTTTCCTAGTTTACGGAGCGTCGAAGGCAAGTGAAAAGAAAAAAATTGGTTAATTGAAAGCGAATCACCTATGCGGACGATAGATCTCGCTCGAGGAAGAAATATCCACAAGAAAAGCGGTAAACGCGACTCGTATATACGTCTCACTCGTCAATCGCTTCTCTGGAACTTTGATTGGTTGATCCGAGGGCCGACCAGTTATAAAACTTTTCCAGTAGCTGGAATATATGTCTCCGAATGCGCGAAACGGCAACGGCTTTGGCGCAATGGGAGAATGTGTGCTCGCCCCGTTATTCCCCACCATTTC